AACACCAAGCCACGGGTTAAGATCCCCTTACCGGTCATCTTTTAAAAAAAAAAAAACCACTAGCCCTGGGCAGGGGATGTTTATGGGCAACACACTTGGGTAGTAGGATGGTGTGGGGACGTTAGCACTTTGAATGTGTCCCCACAGCCTCCTGGTCCCCATTGCTTCTGATGTCAGCTGTTAATCTTAAGGTTCATCTTGCAGTTTTCCAAATTTTCTCTTTATCTTTCAGCATTTTGACTATGGTGTGCCTGGGTATTTGTTTTTTGTTTTGTTTTTTTATTTTTTTTTTATTATTTTTTTGTCTTTTTGTCTTTTTTCATGACCGGCAACGGATCGCAACCCTCAGTGTCGCGCCCGTACCGGACCGGGACCAGCAACGGGATCGCAACCCTTGGTGTTGCCCCCGCTCCTCGCTCAGCCAGTGAGCCACCGGTCTGCACATGGGATCGAACCCTCGGCGGGAGCGCCTCCACGCTTCCCAAGCAGCGCACTGTAGCAGTGCGCCACCGGGCCGGCCCCTGTTTTGTTTCTTTAATGGCATCCTTATTTTTTCAGTTTTTCTCTACTCTCCTATTTCCACATTGACACACATCACTTGTGAGAAAGTTTGAATAAATAGCCCCCTACAAATCATACCTGCCCCAAGGCCTCCCCTTTCCCAAGAGGGAGGAAATGGAAAGCTGAGGCCTAAAGAAGGGACACAGGTGTGTCCACATTTGCTCAGTTGCACTGACAACTCCAGACTCCCCCCAGCAGCAGACTCAGTGCTGAGACCTTCTCTCCGTTAGCCCTCTCCTGGTTCCATCCCAACCCACCAATAGTATCCAGATGCCAGGCACAGCCTCCCCAGCCCAGCTGCCCCTCACGGGGTAACCACCCAGAGGGACAAAGGCCCACTGAGCGAGGCCATTTTATGGATGAGGAAACAGACCAGGGGAGGCAACACAGGTAAAAAGGATTCAAATATTTATCTTGGGTGGGCCGAGCCCATGGCGCACTCGGGAGAGTGCGGCGCTGGGAGCGCAGTAGCGCTCCCGCCGCGGGTTCGGATCCTATATAGGGATGACCGGTGCGATCACAGCGCTCACTGGCTGAGCGCGGTGTGGCCGGTCTCAAAAAGGACAAAAAATATATATATATTTATCTTGGGGGTTAAGGCAGCCAGCAGGATTCTGTGTGGGTGAGGGCCTCTACAAGCAGAGCTCCAGGGCAGGCAGAAGCAGACAAGGACAAGGCCATCTGACCAGCAGTAGCCACATCAGAAAGTGATGAGAGCAAACTCAAAACTGGGTGGGCTTCAGACTTTACATATTCAATACTCAACATCCATTAAATGTCTACCATACGCTGGAGCACTAGACAAAGCCATTGCTCCCCAGCACAGGGCAAACATAAAATAGACAAACTAGGTTATTAGGAAGAGATCAGTGCTGTAGAGAGCAGTTAAAGTAGGGCATGGGATGGAGGGTGGCGAGTCCCCAGAAGGTGGCATTTCACAGGTGAGGTAGTTAAGCCACGTGGAATCAAGGAACAGCAAGGAGGCTGGTATCCAAGTGAAGTGGGATGAGAACTATGGGAGGGTTTTGAGCAGACATTAAGTCACCTTAGTTTTAACAGGATCTCTCTGGGTCTGGGCTGAAAATAGATCCAAGTGGGGGAAGGGCAGAGGCTACTGCAAAAGTCCCGGCAAGACAGGGGACTGGTAAGAAGCAATCAGGTTTGCCATCCTTGGAACTGAACAATGCTGGAGTGGAGACAGAGTTGAAGTCAAGAGCTTGGCATTTGAGGGGGGGTGAGTCTGCCCCAATAGGCAGGGCTCCTGGCCCTCTGACCCCAAAAGCAAGTTGAATCCCAGGGAGTCCCTTGGTCCTTGACCACAGAGCTGTGAAGTGGGGACAGGGTCCCCAGGATGGCAGGAATCAGGGGTGCCGTCAATACTGGATCCTTGCCCCTGGCAGTGGCTGGTCCACAGTAGGTATGCAGGGAACATGTCAGGAGCAATGGCATGGGTGACCCTTTCCCTAGTTA